ACTATCAGCCCTGCTTGTGAAGCTGAAAGTTCCAGTACTTTCATGTAGAATAGGATTGCGAATGAGAATAGAAGTTGTGTATAGGTGTCATTGAACACATTTCCAACTGCACACGATAGCCGTTCCCCTGCCCTCATTACTCCAGATTGTTTGTTGCTTGTTCTTCTCTGAAAACATAAGGGTGCAATTAGCCGGGACTACACCTATAAACGTTTTGTAAACAGTTTGAACTCCGGCAAGGCTATTCTATGATCTGGCTTCAAATTTGATTACGTCTGTACTGAAAGTACTTTGAATTACAGCTGTTAAGACTGATACTTTGATGATATTCACAATTCTCGACGTCTTTACTTCTTTTAGTCCTTCTGTAACTAGTTCCTCCACACGTCACTGGACAAGACGGCGTGATCACGGCCACCAGTTCGCTCAACATGATTGTGAAAAACGGAAGTTTGAATGACAATTGTTCTTTATCTATTTTAAAATACTCGCCTGCAGGTCTACCTGAGAAACCACCACAGCACATTTATTTTATGTCGTTCTGTGTAATTAAAAACAATACTGGGCAGTTAGCAAGGACTACAGCCACAAACATTTTATATACATTTTAAACTCTGACAAAAAGCACAATAGAAGAACAGATTAAAATGAGGTAAGTAGCGCACGCTGAACGAAATTATCTCTATATGTACTTACAAGATTAGGACAATTAAACTAGAAGTGATCGCACCATCCATCCAAGTAAAGCTAATCTCTAATCTGGTTTTAAATATGATTACGAATGTACCGAACTTTCTTTGAATTAAAGATATAAGCACTGGTACTTTAGTGATATTTACGATTCTCCGCGTCTTTCTTTGAGTTCTTGTATAACCGGCTTCTCCACACGTCACTAGACAAGACTACGTGACCACTGACGGTGACGAGTTCGGTCATGAGTGCGATTGTTAAAAAGGGAGGTTTCAATGAATGACAATTGTTATTTATCTATTTTACAATACTGAGCTTTAAGTTCATCTAAGAA